ATGTACTGGAAATTCCGACAAGTAGCGCCAGTCCAACAATTCGCGGCCTATCGTGCATGCGTCACCGTTGATCTCACGACCGGTTCGTGGACACCGTTGCAACCCCCGAGACGCGAGATATTCCCTCATCGTCGAAACACTCGGTTCGAGAAAAGAAGAACGAGAAGAGAAAAGAGAAAAAGAGGAAGAACGAAGAACGGTGGTACGAAACAGAGTTTGTTTCAGGTGTACATGGTGTACATCTTTGCTCGAGTGGCTCGCGGACGTGTCTGCACGTGACCTCGAGCCACGAGGACGAACGAAGAGGGCGCGCCGTGCGCGTTCGCGGTGGTTGCCGTCGCGGTCAGTCGCGATCGAACCATCGCGACGCACGGCTCACCGGCAATTTCGCAAAATCCCTCGTCTCGAAAGGCGAGGAACGAAGCCACGTGGATGATCGACGAGGTAAAGGAATTCCAGAGAGCAGTTCGGTTCGACTTTCCCTGATTTTCACACAGCGGATCAAAAGGAAAGGGGATCTCGAAGAAAGACCATTTAGGTTTAGACGACGAACAAACGCCAGACAGCGAATGTGAACTGAATAAGGATCGTAAAAGAAGAAGAAGAAGAAGAAGAAGAAGAAGAAGATAGTAATGAGAGTAAGGCGTGAGTAACGGTGACGGAGAGATGGAAGAAGAGTTGAGAGAGTCGAGAGGGTAAGAAAAGAAAAAGAAGCAGGGGGATAAGAAAAGAAAAAGGTCTCGCGGTATCGGCACGGAAGTCGCGTCGTCTATTACGAGCACGGATAAACGGCCGAGCTGATGCTGTGGTAGGCGGCGAGGGCGGCGTGCGCGTGCGCTGGGGGCGCGGATGCGGCTGCGTGCGGCGAGGTGGCCATCGCGGATGCCGCCGCGGCTGCCATCATCATCTGTTGGTGCGTACGCTTTAGGGAGTTGGGAGTTGTGGCGGCGCTACTTGGGGTAATAGCAGTAGTAGTGGTGGTGTTCGACTGCGGCGCAGGGTGGTGGTTTTGGCTTTGGTTTTGGCTCAGTTGCAAAGGGGTGGTAGTGGCGGTACTGCCGATACCGGCGTGATTATTATTATTATTGTTATTATTATTCTGGCTCTGATGGTGATGGTGGTGATGGTGGTGGTGGTGGTGGTGATGGTGAGGGGTGATCGCGTCGTGCGGATAGTAAGACGTTGACGATGGTGAGGTACTCACGACGTCCGGCGTGCTGGCTCCGTCCGTGTGGCTGGTGCTGTCCGCGGTGCTCCTCGGTCCGCCACCGTCCAGACCGTTCCCGATTTCCGGCGGTTTCGAGCTCTCCCTGTCGTCGATCACTAGGTCGATCGGCATTTTCCCTTTCAAGCAGCTGATGTACCGGTGGCAGAAGTTGTCGCACAGTTCGTGGACCTGCGATCGCACAAAGAGAAAAACGAATTTGATTAATTTGATCGGTGGTCATCCTTGACGGACGCTCAAGCATTACGTAATATATAACATTAATACACACACACACACACACACACACACACACACACACACA